CTTTGGGTTCAGTTTTCTTTTGGATTAACTTTAACTTTAAATTTTACTTGAATTCACTGTGGTTATGTTCTTTATAGTTTATGTGATACTCAGGAAGGAAGAAGAAAGAGGAGAGGAGGGAAGAAGAAATGAAGGAAGAAAGACTGGAAGGAGGGAAGGAGAGAAAAAAGGAGAGAGGGTGGGTGTGAATATACTTTAAAAGATAATAAAGTTATTTGAATATTTTACTCACTCATGAAGAAATGGCCTTGCTACTGTTTCTCCAAACTGATGGGCTTTGTAAAATAGAGTATAGAGGAAAGGTAATAATGTGTAGCGAATAGTCAAATAGTGCCTCGATGAGTTAACCAAAAGAGAGTTCTGTCCAAAAAATGCAGGATCCTGATGCTGGGTGATCAAAACAGAAATTGAAATGAGAAGGGTGAAATATGAATGAAAATTTCAAAAGAAGCATTATAATCCATTTTTAAAAGCAAATGGTAAAATCTTTGACTTGTTTTTAAAAAGTTGAATTTCCTCTATTACATGACCAAAGTTCTTGCGTGTTTCTAGTTTTCATTTGAATATGTGTTTTCATTAAACTTTAGTTTAAAATAGACATTTCTTATTTAATGATTCTCATTTCAGAAAGATAAAAATATTTTTAAATGGAGTTTTCATGTATTTGAATTTTGGTAGAATGAGTTATTGCATCTAATTATTCACCCTTTCTTCTATCCATACTTTTTTGCCATGTAACTTTTCATGCCCTACCACTAAAAGGAAAACCCTCAACGAGATAGATGGACACAATGGCTGCAGCAATGAGTTCAAGCATAATAGTGATTTTGAGGATAGCACAGGACGAGACAGTGTTTCACTCTTGTACGGGGTTGCTGTAAGTCAGAACCAACTCGACATCACTTAACAAGACTAAAGGCAGAGTGTCCATCCTTATCCCTTGTCTTTGTGCCCAACCATGTGACATGCTCTGCCCAACGAGATTTCAGTACATGTGACATGTTCAACCAATGGTTTGAAATGTGCTCGTGTGAGGGCTTGCTCCTTGTGCCCTGCCACTGTCATGAGAAGACTAAGCCCAGGTAGTCTACAAGTCCATAGCAACAGGCAGTAGAGCTACCTGGCCAGGCTGCACACTTGCAACTTGAAGTACAGTCTTCTGTACTTCAGGCTCAGCAAGAAGACTCTGGTTCCAAGGCTGTCTACAGTCTATAGAAGCAGACTGCTTCATCTTTCTCTCACAGAGTGGCTGGTAGGTTCAAACCACAGAGATTTTGTTTAGCAGCCCAACGCTTTAAGCACAGGGTCACCAGAGCCCCTTTCAGGCTAATTAGGAAAGTCACAAATCTCTAATTTGCACCATTTCATTCTATTCCATCATGACTGCTTCCAGGCTGGCTCTGAGTGGTTGTGCCTCTTCCCAAACAGGATTAAAGCCCTATATGCAACAAACCAGGAGCTCTGGTAGCTTAGTGCCTAAGGCACTTGACTGCTAACCAGAAGGCTGGCGGTTCAAACCCACTGGCCACTCCTCAGAAACCCAAGGAGGGGTTGCTATGAGTCGGGTCTGTCTCGACGTGACGTAACAACAATAACAATGCAACCAACCAAGGGGCGCTGGTGGAACAGTGCCTAAGGTATTTCATTGATAACTAGAAGGTTGGCAGTTCAAGCTCACCAGTTGCTTCATGGATGGAAAATGAGGCAATCTACTTCTGTATAGAATTACCCACTCTGAAACCCAGTGGGTGTCTCTATGAGTTATTTGACTTAATGGTAGTGAGTTTGTTTTTTTGCTTTTATGCAACCATGTGAAGAGCAGAAGACTTCTTAACCATCATGTACTTAACCCATTTACTGGATTAAACAAATTTCACAATTCTCTCTGGAAAAAAAATGCCTAGGACAGCCTACAACATGTTGAATTTTCAGGGCTGATTGAATATCTCAATATAACCCTGTATTTCTGCTTCCACCAGTGAATCATTATATACTTCAAAAAGTGATAAAAGTGATGGTTTTGCTTGCTCCCAATCATGTATACTAGTTTTAGTAATTACAGAAATACTATTTCTTTGTGCATATCTTTAATTTCTTGTTTTTATTTTATGGAAATATTGGGAAAATGAAAATATATGAAAAATTGTAAATCTTTGAAAATATAATAATTATAATCAAAGAAAAATGACCTGGAACTCAAACTTGTAAAATCCAACTCCAAGAAACAACACTGGCTCTAATTTAAAATAATGATGTTATAACATAATGTAGTTCAGCTTGAACAAAATATTTATGCTGTGAATATATATTTATGTTTCATAATTCCTTACATGACCTTTTATGGGGGGAAATACTAAATATTTACACATGCTGAGAAGAGTAATTCTGACTATTCCTTAAAAAATATGTTACAATCATTCAGACCAGGTCATCTGTGGATTTAATTTAAGTACACTTCCAGTAATATGAGTGTATTCTATTTCAAAACTTGGAGAAGAAAAATTAGGTCCCTTACCTGATATCCATCAGCATTATGGTTTCTAGAAAATGGATAAAATGCCCCGAGTTGCATCCATCTTCTGCACAACTCTTCTGTGGTTTCAGCCACAAATCCACAGATATCTGCTCCTACCTAAATAACAAATACATCTCTAATTTAAAGTGTAAATATTCTGAAATTTTACCAGAGCATCATATTTTATGCCTCATGTGATTAATTTGCATTATTTATGGTCTTTGTGTTTTTCTGTCTTTTATGCGTTCTCTTGTAACCTGTTGTTGTTGTTGTTGTTTGCCGTCGAGTCGGCCCCGACTCATAGCAACCCCTCCTTGGGTTTCCGAGTCAGTATCACTACGGAAGTAGGATTGCCCAACCTTCCTTCCGAGGAGTGGCTGGTGGGTTTGAACCGCCAGCCTTCTGGTTAGCAGTCAAGTGCTTTTAACCACTATGCTACCAGAGCTCCCTCTTGTAACCTAGTTTCTGTATTTTCCAGTTTTGATTTGTTCTTTACTCCAATTACAAAGTTTTACACACTCTTATTCATTGTCCCTTCATATATATTCTTAGTTTTTTTTCTTTATTTCCATCTTAAATCTGATCATTTTAACTCAGTACATAAAAGACAAATTGCTGTGTTAAAATATGTTGCTCCTCAATTTAAAAACACATGCCCATTGATTTTTCATTTTAATAATAAAATATTTCTGATGCCAAAGTTATGAGTGATACACTAAACAACTGTGTTTTCAGGTTGAGCTTACAAAATAAATTATCACAAATAAAATTGAAGATTTTTACTCAATCTCTACCCATATAAGTTTGCACTAATTTTCATTCAAATACCTTCCAGAAATAACCACTGTTCTTAATTTAGTGTTTACCATTTACATTAATTTATTTTGTATTATTAAATTATGTAGTTACAAATCTAAACATTATATAGTATTATTTTGCATGTTCATTAGTTTTATATAGTTGTGTGCATTGCACTGCATTTTGCTTTTATCATTAAGCTTTGTTTTGGTAATATTTAATTATGTTAACACAGCTCAAGTTCTTCGTTATATGGGTTTCCACTGTGTAAACATATCATCATTTACTTAGTCATTCTCTTATTGATGAATACTTAGGTAAAAGCAAGTTAATATCAGTTTGGAAAATTTTTCCATGAAATTTACATACAGGTTTTCTTAGAAATATGTAAAAACTTCTTATTGTATAGTAGGTGTTCTGGTGGTACTGTGGTTAAAGTGTTGGGCTACTAATCACAAGTTCAGTAGTTCAAACTCACTAGTCGCTTAGCAGGAGAAAGATAAGGCCGTCTGCTTCCAAAAAGATTTACAGCCTTGGAAACTCTATGGGGTATTTCTACTCTGTCCTCTGTCCTATAGGGTTGCTATGCATTGGACTGGACTTGTTGGCAGTGCTTTTATGTTTGTTTGTTTGTTTGTTTGATTACATGGTATCTATACATGAAATGATTTTTTATTACTTTTCTGGTTTATGGAAAATGCAAAGCTTGTAAGCAAAATTGGTTGCAACCATTTGTAAGCACAAAGACAGTATGCAAAATTTTCCATTGCTCCATTTTCATGCCAATAATTGATAGCTTCTGACCTCTCATTTGCCATATTATTCTATTTATATTTCCACAGTCCATTATCATTGTGGTAATTACTATAGCATTATCTGAGAGGGCAAATATCATGTTCTTCTGTAAGTTGTATTGTCTTCCACCTGAAGTTTAGAATAGTTTTCTTATGCTCCAAATACTCTCTTATGATTTATATTAGAATTCTGCTAAATTTGGTTGATAGTCTGGGGAGAAAAAATATTACTACTATATACACTTTTCCAATCCATGAAGATGGTATATATTTACTTAATTCTTATTTAAAATTTTCACCAAATATATCCTACTTCTATTCTTAATATTTACTCTCGGATATTGTTTATTAATTGGTTAGCATGATAAATATTATCCTATATTAAAAGAGATTCTAATACAGTTTATTACTTTCTTCTTTTCCAGACAAAGTTTGCAATTATTTGCTCTATCTTATTAATTTTTTTTAAAGAAATGTCTTTTCCTTATGACTTTGCTTATTTAGTTCTCTAGAGTTGTTACTTTCATTGCATGAATTTCTTCTCTTATTTTTGTATTTTTCATATGAAGTTCAATTGTTAGTGTTCAGTTCTTTTTTAAAGAAAAATTTCCCTTCAGAATTTTTCAACTCATGTATAATATGAAGTTTTCTTCAATTTCCAAATGTAAGATTTGTATGTGTTTTACCTTTCTATGGTTTATATGCATATGAAAGACAAAATAAGTGAATTACTATAATTTTCTAATATGGTCTGCAGTATTTTTATTATGTAGTGGAGCTCTGGCAGTGTAATGCTTAGGATTTTTGACTGCTAACCAGTGCTTCAAACCCACCAGCCACTCCTTGGAAGGAAGGTTGGGCAATCTACATCCATAGTGATACCACCTCAGAAACCCAATGAGGGGTCACTATAAGTCAGGTCCGACTCGACGGCAGTGAGGTTGAGGAGTGGCCCATGTTACTCTTGAATATCAACATTATATAATACTTTTTTGTTGATATAAATAGACTTCCCAGATTTCTGATGTTTGGAATTGTCCGGTATAAATTTTAACTATTCTCTGCACTTATATTTTTTTTTTCCTTTAAGTAAAGAAAATATGTCTATATTATTATTATTATTATTGTTGTTGCTGTTGTTGTTGTTGTTATCATTACACACACACACATACATATACATATATGGGATTTTCCTTATCATCTTATTTGTTATATTTATTATATAAGATTTTTCTAAGCTTTGTTTATATTCATTTCCTCACTTATGTTGGTTTGACTGATTTTTTTTCAATCCCATTTTCTCATGCTAATGGTTTGTTATTAGAATTGCTATTATTAACTTCTATAAAGTAGATTGTGACTCATAGCAACTCCATGTAACAGAATAGAACTTCCTCATGGATTTCCTGACTATAGTCTCTACAGAAATAGAATTCCAGGTCTTTCTCCTGAGGAGTGGCTGGATGGGTTTGAATTACCTTTTACTTCTTGTTGTTGTTGTGTGCCATCGAGGTGGACCCGACTCATAGCGACCCCTTCTTGGGTTTCCGAGGCAATATCACTATGGAAATAGGTTGCCCCATCTTCCTTCCAAGGGGTGGCTGGTGGGTTTGAACCACCAGCCTTCTGGTTATCAGTCAAGTGCCTTTAGGCACTATGCTACCAGAGATCCTTTTACTTAGCAGCCAAAAACTTAACCATTTCACCACTGGGGCTCCTTTTGAATGTGATGCTATAGGCATCATAAACATTCTTATTTTTCTCCTGAATTCCATAAGAATTAAGATCAAGTTCTTTTTTTCTGTTGCATGAGTTTTAATAATTTTACTAAAAACTGTTAAGATTATAATGGATAAACTTAAGAGTAATTTGGAATTTTATAAATAACATTGCATGATAAGACTCACCAAAGGCATTCCAAATAAACTGAACTCCAGCATTCCTGTGATAGACCATTCCATTTGTTCCCATGAAGCAGTATTGTCTCCCAACCAATGCGAAGCATGCCTTCCAGATCCAGCAAAAGTTGACCGGGTGAGGATAAAGCTTCTCTTATTAGGAAAAACTTTTTCTACAGCTCTAAAAGTAATATAAAATTAATAAGTAAGACTTATTTAAAGAAATAACTGATGTTCACGTCTAAAGCTTATTTTAAAATACATACATGTTTCATAGCCAAGGTCTAATGTTTGCAACTATTTAAATAAAACTTTGTATCAATTTTCCATTAGCTATTGATATTTTGTTGCTTAAATACATTTTCATCATACACAGAGGAAGTTTATCTAAATTATTTAGACATGAATGACCTCTTTTACTGAACTGTACCCCTCTTCCTGAAAATGTGGAGATCCTAATTTCTGTCCCTTTAAATATGACTTGGTTTGGAAATAGCAGGTTTTCTTTTGTTGTTAATGAGGTCATACCAGAATTGAGTGAGCCCCAAACCTAGTCACTCAGAAGTGTCATATATATATATATATATATATATATATATATATATATAGGCAGAATGGTGAGTGTGCTCCATTGGTCACTAATATGGCTGCACGAGAGCATTCACCACATGTGTCCAGATGGGCGGGCAGCAGCTGGCTGTGTACCATAAAGTCCTTCCATTTTGATGCTAGCAGTTAGTGCTTCCACTGGAAGTGAGAGCAGGATGTCTTCATAGCTTCTGTGAGGGATTACTTCCCAAATGTATGAGATAGACCCTCTGTGCATGAA